GGGGGGGGAAGGAGGGATTCCTGGCTATGTGGTTCTCTTTCGTTTTCCTCATTGCCAGGAGGTTAACGTTTCCCGGTCTGGGAGAGCGTGTAAGTGCTTTCGGCGAAGGCTCGTGTGCGCCCCGCCATTGCTTCCTTCATAGCAGTTAAGGACGAATCAGTCTGAAAGCTTTTTTTGGCCCTGAGTCGAATGGAAATCGATTCAAAATCAAATCAATGTGGAAAAGGACGAGGTCGCCGTCCCCCAACTCCTGTGTGTGTTGTTTCCCGAGCACAGAAAATGCCAACCGTCAAAAAAAGGAAAAAAGAAAAAGGCAAACCGTCTGATAGCCCGTCTCGCGTGCGCGCAGCTAAGGTAGGTGGCGGTCGAAGAAGTCATTACGTCAGCTAAGGGAGGGGACTTTCTCCAAGAAAGCAGGACCCATGTGTGTAAATTTTTCTATGCATTGGGGGGAAGGGTTTGGGGGAGGGTCTTGGGGAGGGTTTGGGCGTGAGGGCGGGATGGGGGGGTGTCAATTGCAGATCACCACCATGACATGAGAAGCAATGCTAAGTTTTTGAAATGAGATATACAGTTTTAGCAGGAATGTCTCGGCATGTGGCAGATTGCCAGCTGCGTAATCTGGTGCCTTGGCTCTTGGCGTATAGGTGCATCCGTGAGGACAGGGGTTCTTGTGTTATTACTTCGAACTTCAACAGGGGTAGTTCTGAAAGTCACCCACTGAAAAATTCGGCGGCCATTCTTTTTTTGATCCATCAAGTGTCTTTTCTATCAACGCAGACCAACCCCCGGCTGAATGATCCGGTCATCCGTCGTCATAAGTAAGGGGTTTCTGTCCATGCTATACTGTAGTGTCTAGGGGTTTCTGTCCATGCTATACTATAGTGTCAATTTGCTATGCAGATGCCTTCAAGTTAGGGGTTTCTGTCCATGCTATACTAGTGTCAATTTGCTATGCAGATGCCTTCAAGTTAGGGGTTTCTGTCCATGCTATACTATGGTGTCAATTTGCCATGCAGATGCCTTAGGGGTTTCTGTCCATGCTATACTATGGTGTCAATTTGCTATGCAGATGCCTTGCGAAGGCCCCATATCGTATTTCTGCATGCAAGATGTACTGATGAACGCTAACTCGTGAGAAGTTTCAAGCATCAGAACATGCCTGTAGTCTCAAACGCGCAATGGAGTCTCAAGTTAGTGTACCATTATGCTTTTGTTATGTTAATCGGGTTAACCATATTTATTACCATCATAGGTCTTTGGGACTTTATTTCATTTTGGGTAGATAATCGATTTCAGCAGTGAGTAACCAGAAATCAGGAAAACGTAAGCGAGCGAAGAATAGAGGAGGGAAGAAGGCATTATAGTAATCAATGATCACAATATTTCTGGCTCTTCCAATCCCCTCGTTCTTCCAGGTCTCTCCCACCAGACTCGCCAGCTTAGCACACAACCTATCCCTCTAATGATGCCCCTGATGAAGTCTCTTGCAGCAGCCTCCCATCAATCGTTCAGCCCCACCACCAGCCTCACCCGCAGCCTCACCTCCAGCCAGAAGACGACAAGTGCTATGGAGGTTGGCGCTCAAGCTAGAACCGCCATCCTCATGAAGCATGCCACAGTTCTATCAAGAGCAGTGCACCGGGGAGTTCAGATAGCCTCTCTTCTCTCTCACTCCTCACAGGTCGTGATCACACTTAACACCTCTCTCTCTCTCTCTCTCTCTCTCTCTCTCTCTCTCTCTCTCTCTCTCTCTCTCTGTGTTCTGCAAGCTATGGCGCTGTGTGCCTTTAGCTATGTCTACTCTCTCTTTAGGAGCTGTTTCTTTCCAGCTGCGCCACCTCTCTCCTTGGTGAAAACCCACTCATCATCATAAAACAACTAATAAACACCGAAATCCACACCCTCTGGAAGAAGCAACTCAAACTACTACCCACTGACCCCGACAAGAAAAACCCCAAAAAAGCAAAAGCTTCTCAACCCCTAAACTAGGCAATGGCCTACTTAGCATAATAAACAACGACAGACTCGTCCTAAAAAATGGCTAATCATACCGCAGATGCAAAGCATCTCTACAACTCCCCCTAACCCACACACAATCACTGCCAAACCAGCCACACATCACTAATCCACGACCGAACCAGTAGATAACCCCTCCCCCCTGCTTAACAACAATCCCACTCCTCCCCCCCCCCCCCACCCCCTCCAAGTCCAAGCGACAGTCCATACACCACCAGACACACTCATCAACCATCCCTTTCCCCCCCCCCACACCCACCTTACACTTCCCAATAGCTTACGCCGATCCAAAACCCCCAACCCAGCCACCTCCCTAGCCTTATCACCTTCCCTATGAAGAAAGCCTCCAACAGAATACAAGTAGACCCCTCCCCACCACCAAACGACACCTAGAGTTCCGACCAGCCCCAGCAACCACTATAGGTGAAATCGACAGACACGGTACAGAAACGACCTTCAGGGACAGGGTACAGACAAAGAGGCATCAAGCGAGGGTTTAGGGTTTTAGCATCAAATGCATTAACCAAGTTGAGCTGAGATCGACCCTGTTGAAAAAGCAAGGGTCCTAGACTAGAAGTAAATAGAATAGCA